GGATGGCCCCCCCTCGAAAGCCATTTTTTTTCGCATGGCCCCCCCCCCAAATCCCACCAGCCCCCCCTACCTTATAAAAAATGAACGGTCCCTAATGGTAGAGTTTTAAATACGTTCAATGATTTTATCGTCAGCGTTTCGCGAGTTTATTCGTCTCTGTGCCGCTTCATTGAACAGGTCGCTTTACCGCTCACGACATTGCTGTTTTTGCCAAAGAAAGTGCGTCTTCCAGCGTACAAACTCTAGGACCAGACGACTTCCCAGCGAAAGTTACACGACCTGATCTTCCATTCTTTGTGGATTTCTTTGCACCAGTAAGGAAATAGTGGGAGTGATTTAGAGTTCAAACTCTGGCTTACTCTGTCAAAACATGAATGATCGTTGCAGTTATATTCCCAACTTATTAAAGCAGCTGTGAAATTCAAGCTCAGTTGAGCACTGCACCGGTATCGCAGAGGTCATGGGATCAGATCCCGTTCAGACCTGAATTTTTCCAGCCTTTAATTTCACAGCTGCTTAAGGGGGTCTTATACATAAAAAATAGTTTTTTTTACAAAACAACTCCGTGGAACAGTTTTGGTACCACGTTAAAGGACTTTGCACTCTGACTTCAAAAATGAGCTTTTCCAGCTCACGTGCCACGATTGTTAGTGAATAACTAGCTCCTAAGTGTTAAAAAGTGGTGTTCATTATAAACACGATAACGTAATAATGAATGGTTCGAGAAGCATGGAATTAGGTTCATCCATAAGCAAGTTGTCCAGGAGGCAAACCTCAGAAAACAGTGTTTTGAGGGGGTTTTTCTCGTGAAATGTTGAAAAAGTATACTAATATTNTTCAGGACCATGATGCAAAATTCTCATAACTACACATCTTTAAAGCGTTTGTGTAAAGTATCATTAAAATATACTGAATTGAATCAATTTTGTTAGTACTTTTAGACTGTAAACAATGGTTGCTATGGGTGTTGCTATGTTGAAATATAGCTACGAGTGTTCAGATTTTCTAATTTAAACGTAAATCAAGGAGTAATTAGAGGAAAATCGTTTCAAACTACGATTTACAAATGGACAGGGATGTTGAATCTTCATGTTCCGAAAAAAATGGTTTTTTGGAGAATAATTTATATCTGAGAGTATGACCCCCTTAAGTAGTGTATAACTGCGATGATCAATTTTGTCTTCACATCTTTAAATTAATTCTTTCTCCTCAGTTCAAATACATGATCTTTCATATATTCCCTTGCATTGTTGTCCACTCTGTTCGACTTCCATTGTTGCTTTATTCGACCAATAGACTTACGCAAGTTATCTTACCGTTAAATGTTGGTTGTATAAGCCCAGGGCATTTTTACGAGAATTTTATTTGACGGTATTTTAATATTGTTCTCCCTTTTTTTAGTGGTGCCCACCTTGCATGCGTCTGTTACCTGAATACAGGAAAGCAGCTCGGTCATTTGATTATAATGAAGTTGGTTTTGGTACTGTAGACTGCACTATTCACTCAAATCTTTGCAATATGGTAAGATCATGAAATAGCTTGTCATCCCTGGTGAGACCATATTCGTATTCCCGGTATTGAACTGGAACTACAATCATGGACAAACGTCTTGGGACAAATTTGCACTTTTGGCGCTTTTGCGCACACGCCAGACGCGAATACAACTTCACTTGCCCAACCTCGCCCCTCACCCCACATACAATGTTGAAAACTAGTACCTGCAATTTCACCTAATTTTCAACATTGTATTGGTTGGGAAGGGGGAACTGCAACGGGTTTTTAAAAGGATAGCAACGCTTTTTTTAAAACTTCAGTGGCAAACACAGATAATTCGTTACATTACACAAGTGTCCCAAGGACTTTTGTGCAAACCTCGTTCCCAGGGTCTCTAATCTTACCGCCCCCTGGAGCGAGCGGGGGCGGTAAGATGAGAGACCCTGGGAACGAGGTTGCTTTTGTCCACGATTGTAGCTTGCGACTGAGGCTAATGCTTGGAATCTTTTCAAATGTAAATGACATAAATATCTTTTTAATGATATTCCCCTGCGTGAGCCTTCATTGCAAGCTACAGTCAGCTACAAAGCTGTTCAGACGTTTAAAATTCGATTTTTGAGCGTCCTGGAAACATTCTCCTCCCCCAACTTCCACCCCAAACAACGTTGATTTTTTTATTTCTAAGACTGCACAGACAACAGCGCCTACACAACATTGAATTGGCGGGCCGGGGGTTTCAGAGGATTAACGCTAGATGTAAATGAAATAGAATAAGAAGAATAAGAGGTTAATTAATTTATAGAAAAGCCTAATTTTGTAAAAGTGTCACTGCTTTCGTTGCTTATTGTAGTACCAGTCCAATACTGGGAATGCGATTATTTCTGTCCTTGCCATTGAAATGGAATTGTTTTTTTTCAGTACAACATTCGCTCCTATCCGACCACCATCCTATACAATAACAGCATTCCTCATCAGTTCACTGGACATCACACGGCGGCTGATCTAGTGGAGTTTATTGAGGTAAGTAAGCTATGTGTCACACGCGGGAATAAGAGTAAAGTGGTAAATCTCAGGAATACATCACTTGCAAAAAATTCCGAACGTTTTATTTTAGACGTTTAATTTTCAAACAGTTCGGCCATTTTCGGACAAATTTCGAAAATTTCCAACAAATTTCGGACAAAAATTTCGGACACTTTGGTGAAACATATCTATCGTAAATTTACGGCTACAAAACACGTTTTATACTGAAACAACATCTGAAAATGTTAGTTTTACTGCACCCTGAAGGTTTTACAGATACATCGACGGGAAAATAAGAAACATTCTATCAAGCCGTTACGTATCTCAAGTAGTGTGTCATCTAGAGTTCGCCCCATAAAGGAAACTATCTGCTTTGGAGCTAATTAAAGGTTTTATACTGTACTGTAAATGTTTCTGACGCGTGAAAATCGCGGACAGTTTTACTTTCGGACAATTTTTTGTCCGAAGTGAAAATCGTCCGAAATGTTTCGCAAGCAATGTACTTGCGACCGTTCCCAAGTGCGTGAAAAGTTGCGTAAGCGCTGGGCAAGACAGGCTTGGAGGTAATATATCAAACACGAGAGACTGTGTTTCATTGGGATATCCAAACACCGAGAAGAGAGTTGAAAATACGACGCGCAGCGGAGTATTTTTGACGAAATTCGAGGTGTTTGAAATATCTTCTCAAGCGAAACAAAAACTAAGGAGCAACTGGAGAAGTAAAATCTTCAAACCTTGATGAATTATTAATGAGTTTGAGAATGAAAATTCAATCTGATTGTCTGATAAAACAAACAGTCTGTCTCGTTCCAGAACACCCTGAAACCTGCAGTTGTACAGCTGACGCCCGAAACATTCCAGTCTTTGGTTGCGGAGAGAACTAAGGGAGAAACATGGCTTGTTGATTATTATGCTCCGTGGTGCGGACCCTGTAATGAACTGTCTCCTGACTGGAATAAACTGGCCAAGGTAGGATTGTTTACCAACCTAATATATTATCAAGTAACCAACTGTAATATTAAACACCTATGAAATACCAGGCGGAGTTTCGCGTGAAAACATGATAAACTTCGCTAAGAATTTTAAAAAAGAAATAGTTTTTGAGGTGTTAGGTCCAGAAAAGTTAGTGCCTATGAGTTAAGTCATGATTTTGAGAACAATTTGACTGATTCTGACCAACAGAACTTCTTCACTGAAAAGAAACTTTATACTAGGTAAGGATGAGGAGATCCGCTGAAGGAAAAGAGTGCAGGCGCTCATCATCTTTTGCGTCTCAGTAAATTTCACTGAGTAGCCTGTGAAAGGGCTCCGGCTGGAAAGGTCTGACCCCGGCTGGAAGGGCCGAGAAGGAACTGGTTGAGACTGAAGTTGCCGAGGGGTGTGTTGGGGGGTTGATGTGGTGGGGATTGGGGCGTCCCCTCCGCTTTCTCGACTAGAGAGGCTCTTCACAGGCTTCTCACTGAGCTGATTTGTCTCCAAATTCCCTTCGATCGTCTGCAGTAGACATCTTTATTTAACTATAAAACAAGAGAAAGATACCCGCTAACTTGCGATCTGTATTTCGTCAAACTGCATGGTTATAATTTTTTCTTTCACTCTTCGTTTTCTCAGCTAATGGAGGGAGAGGCTGGTGTTGGCTCGGTCGACTGTCAGAAGTATCGGTCTTTCTGCCAGGAGCAGGGTGTCAATTCATATCCCACAATCCGTCTGTATCCCCACCATAGCCAGGGATCACGCAACTACGTGTGAGTACAAGTCACGTGAACTTACGTCACGCATGGCGTATCTTGGAAAATGTGGCTTCATTTTTTATCAGTTTATCGTTCTAATCCGTTCAATTTCGGTGTATCATTTCTTCTTTAGTGTTTTTATACCTTATTAAACTATTATTCTAAGGTTTCGTTCAATTTCGAGGCATTTTTTTTGCTGCGCAGAAATGACTTTAAGATATCACGAGGTAGCCCTGTCTTCATTATATTAAGGGCCCATTAACCGATCTTTTTGAGCCGTTGCTAAGGAAAATTTATTCTCATATAACCTCATCATTTTTAGTTAGTTCAGAGTTATTTCATGTGTTTTAACTTTTTCATGATCAGTAACACTAGTGATGATGTCATCAGGCCACGCCCATGGTTATGTGACTAAAACTGAAAAACGCAAAGGCTCCTAGGCAAATTACTTTATCGGGATTTTTTTCATTGATTTAATGTTTTAATTTAAATCCTCATTACGCTATGCTTAGATTTTGT